ATAAATTAAAGGTAGTATGAGGCTCGGAAGTCTCTACACATGCAAAAAGATCTCTCTTTTATTTATTATGAAGAACAAAGAGCAAAAACTATCCTATGTGATCAATCATAAAACAGTTACCTTCCTAGCATGGCAAACATGAAACACTTGTAGTAAATTCTTCTACTTACCTAATCCACTAGTAAAACCCCATGAATCGATTAGCTCATGATGATTGTGGTGATGATCATGGTAGATGTAAAAGTAAAAGACATAATTAAAAGACAAGAATGTAAAGACAAGATATTGAATTGCATGAAAAGTAAAGATATAATCAAAATATGAAGAACTTGAACTTGAAAAGTAAATAGACTTGTATTAAAATAAAAGGAACTTCTTGTTCAATATGAAATAATATAAAACCCTAATGATACTTCAGTTTAAGATCAAAGCATGATGAATTTCGTGGCTCTCCTCTCCTTATATAGGGAGGAGTCCATCTAACCCTAGAACTCCTTGAAAATTGCTAGAAAAGAGTTTGTATTTTGTTAGATAACTTGTAGGAAGCTTCTGGAGCTGAAGTTTGGTGGAGAGATAGGTTAAATCACGTGGAAGACTCAATAAAAATCTTGGGTCCAAATTCCTTCTATAAATACGAATTCCAAGAAGCCCAATGGGCCCAAAAACTGCCTTCAGAAACTGGGTCTGGTCGGTTTTTGATGAGTCTTTTCGTCCTGATTCCATCTCTATTTTCTGCGATCTACCTTGACAGCCTTGAAGTAGGAAGTGAGAGCTTTCCAATGTCTATTTGTGCTTCAAAATACGAGCTCTCTAACCCTTTCGTTTAATTGTGTCAAGTTGGCTAGTCGAAACAGCGTTTTTACCGCATTTTGCTTCCTTTTAGCTTTTCCGGGCGAAATACACCTACAAACACGTAATTCTAACAACACCAAGCATATCATATCACTTTATACCGTAACTTGAGACAAATATACATGAGTTAAGGGGATAAATTTACACTTTTGAGCGCTTATCAACCCCTTAGAAAGTTGAAACGAAGCACCGGCTTCATGGTTCGACTGTGTCATTCTCAGACTCAGAGGTGGAAATAGTCAAAACACCTCACGAGGACGCTCTGGTCCTCACACACAACATTGGAAACTCTCTAGTTAGGAAGATCCTCGTGGATCCTAGCAGCTCAACAAAGATCCTATATTATAAAGCCTTCCAACAGATGGGTTTGCAAGAGGTGGACATCAAGGCTTCAAAGGCAGTGGTGTTTGGATTCAACAACGAGAGCATCCCAGTCATAGGGGAGATTGAGTTGCCAATCACCACCAGACCAATCAGCTTGGTGGCCAACTTCATCATCATTGATTCTGAAGCCCCGTACAATGCCTTTTTGGGTAGGGTCTAGATCAACAATCTCAAGGCAGTACCCAGTACCTATCATGAAGTTCCCAACTAACGAGAGGGTCTGGGAGATAAAGGGTGATCAGGCACTGACTAAGAGTTGCTACACAGCGGCTGTAAAAGGCAAAGTCCAGGAGAGTAAGACCGCCAAGCTTTCTTCAACTCCAAACAAACAAACAACGTCCTTGGGCATACTCCAGCTCCCGCGGATGCTCCTCCGCCTATGCAAGTCGATGCCTCTCAAGCCGGGACTTCTAAATAGCAATTACAGAAAGGCCTCTTCGACCCAGATGACCCTTTGGTCGAGAAGGTCCACCAACTATCGAGCCAGTTGATGAGATCGATATAGGATCTAGTAACGTACCGAGGTCAACATTCATTGGTACCATAATGGGAGCTGAAGACCGATCAGAGTTGATCAAGTTTCTCAACGATCACAAAGATGTGTTTTCTTGGTCCTTCGAAGAAATGCCAAACATCAATCCCATCATCGCTTGCCACCAGCTGCACATCAAACTGGAGAGATTGCCCGTTGTCAACGAAGAAGTCAATAAGATAAAGGACATTGGGTTCATAGTGGCAGTCCCCAAAACGAATGGTCGGGAAGATCTGGGTATGTATTGATTTCACAATTTTGATTAATGCATGTCCTAAGATCCATTTCCCTTACACAGGATTGATAAGCTTCTAGACGCCACTGCTGGGCACGAGCTTCTGTTCTTCATGGATGGGTACTTGATAAGCGCCCAAAAGTGAGTATTTATCCCCATTATTTGCCTCCAATTGTCCCAAACTAACCTCTCAAGTGATATGATATGCGTTTTTTGTTAGTTTTACCACATTTCAGGTCAAAGACACGACAAAAGAACAAAAAGAAGAAAAAAAACCCGAAAAACTCCGATTGACGATCTGAAAGCATTGTTGGAAAGATCATAATCTAAACTACAAGGTTGTCAAATATCAAATCTTTTAAGTAGCATAACATTGCCAAAAATCAGCTCAAAGTCAGGTCAATCAGCAACTCTGTATTCTGTACTGGTCACCCCAGGCTTGTGAAGTTTGAAGTCCAGAAGAGCTAATCTTGAAGTTTCTTTTGTTTTTCAGTGTTTAACTGCAAACGTGACTCTGGGTCTATATATACTTGAATTTCCACGAATTTGGAACAAGTTTTCTGCAACATTGAGAGTTTCAGTTAAGGTTTTATTTATAAAGAAGATTTATTTTTACTAATGCAAGTTCTTTGATTTATTTCTTTTATGTTAGTTTTATTTTTCGTATTCAATTCTAGTTCTTTAATTATGTCTTCTCCATCATCAACCATCTTTTCTATCATCTCCAACAACATGAGTTAAACCATTCATGGGGTTTTACAAGCCTAGTAGGTAAGTAGAAGAATTTTATATATGTGTTTCGTTTTCCATGCACAAAAGGTAATTATTTTAGGATTGGTCACCTTAGAATAGTTTTTACTCTTTGTTCTTCATAATAATATAAAAGGAGAGATCTTTTTACATATGTAGAGACATTCATAACTCATGTGCATTTGTTAACTTGTTCTGGCATCGAGAGAGAGAAAATAGGTTAATTATATATCTTTAGTTAAAATGTATAAGATTTTACTTGCTATCGACGGTGTCAAGATAAGAAGTTAAGGGTCATTATGTTACATCTTAAGACCCTTAGAAGAATTCTCTGCAAAGACTCTAGTAGTTCTTAAGGTGGGTAAGTTAGAGGAACTCACTACCAACTTTGGCATAGAGATAGAGATAATTGGACCATAGGAAATGAATACACTGGAAATTTGATATTTACCTAGGATGGTGAAGTGAAACCCCACCTTCATACCATATTCAGAAACCATACCTTTTACTTTACTTGTTTTAGTTTAATTTGTATTATTTTAAAATTATCTCTACAAATCATAACTCTTTCAAAACAGCAATCTTCCATATGTTCTTTCATAAACGACATCATCTATCGTCATGTTTCTAGTTTGGGCTTAGGTGCCCAATTCTTGGGTGAGTGGAATCGGTACCCCTATCTTACTATTATACTATTCTTAGTTTTAATTACTAGCACAAGAGAACTATAATTTTTTTTTATATTTCACTTTGAGAAGGCAGTGTGAGCGTGAGTGTATAGCCGAGTGAGCTGAGTGAGAGCTTACCTTATTTAGCTACCATTCGCATAAGCAATCTCATCTTTAAGTCGAACATTAAATTGGCATCGTTACCGCTCTAAGAAGAACCAAGGTGCCCACAGACGAGAGTCAAGACATTCAAGCCTACAAATCGTCGTCCGCCATTTGAAAAAAAATCTAAAAATCAACAAAATAAATAAATAATATAAAAAAATCGAAATTGGGAAAATTAGTTTTATGAAGCTCGCCCGACGCGACCAGTCTTGCCAAGTCAACTCTCTTGACGCGACTAGCTCGCCCCACGCCACCAGACTGTACATCCCAACTCACGTCGGAAAAATAGTTCAATAAATTTTGCGATTTTTTTAGATTTCCAAAAATTCAGATTTTTAAGTTTTTGGACCAAGGTACGTGTTTCAATCACTTCTAGACTATTTACATTCCGTATTTAGTCTATATTGAATATTATTTGCTCGTTTACGCGCGTTCAAGGGAAAAAGGTACGTGTAATTTTAATATCTCGAATCTCACGTAAGAGGTTTTTCAACATATTTAAAGTGGAAAATTGCATGTTTTTGTGTCTTTAGTTAATTTCGTTAGTTTAGCTCAATTAATTAGTATAATTAGTTTAGTTTATGCATTTATATACCGGTAATATACTCCATTAGTTAAAATAGTTTGCAAGTTAGCACAATAGTTTTTGATAATAGTCCTTTAGATTTTAATTTAGATAACAGTTCGTTAGGATTAGTAAATAGTTCTTCGAGTTAGAAAGTAGTGACTCCATGCCTCTTTTAGAAATGGCTTTCCTTGAAAAGAAACTTCGTGATTTTTTTTTCCTTTGTCAACCGGACCGCCTAATTGCATCGTTTTTTCCGCACTTGAAGATGGAGCTGATTTCAAACTTCACTATGGCATCATTAATATGTTGCCTAAGTTTACTGGTCATGAACGTGAAGAACTTTATACTCATCTTACAACATTTGTTTAAGGTTATTCCCGTTCTCTCTACATGATCTCAATGGTTACATTCTTTAGCCGGAAACTCCATTCATTCATACATGGGAACAATTGAACTCAAAATTCCTTACTAAATTCTTTCCCATATCCTGAACCATAGAACTAAAATTCAAACTTTCTGACAAAAACATGATAAAGAATTTTATGAAGCTTAAGAAAGGTTTAGAAGGTTACAAATACAATGTCCACATCATCAACTCCTATGGAAACGTTAGTTCAATGCTTTTCCAATAGTCTAAACCGTACCACAAGAGCTATGATAGAATTTATGAATGGTGGTACGTTCCTTAGTAAAATAGCAACACAAGCTAACGAGTTCTTTGTTAAACTTGCGGATAACTCTCAACATTGGGGAAACACTCCTAATCTTATTCCTGGAGTTTATGAAGTTAAAACCTCGGCTAAAATGGAAAATGATGGAGAAGTAAAAGCTTTAATTCAAAATCTTTCTAAAAAAATAGAAGATCCCTCCTTTACAAAGTAATTCACCTACATAATCTCATAATGAACGTTAATGAAATGTGTCAAGTTTGTAATGTAACTGATCATAACAAAGATAATTGTTCTTATTTCAATCCTTACGAACAAGAACAAGTAAACAGTATTTGGGATAATAGAACTAATGCTCCACCTTAAGGTAACAAACATAATCCAACTTGGGCTAATCATCCAAGATTTCGATGGGGAAATAATAACAATAATGTTAAACCTTTTAACCAAAACCCACAAAACTTTCAGGGAATTAATATGAATAGAAACCCTAATGGACTCATGAGACAAAATAGTAATTTTCAGAATCATGGGATTCCTATACACAATCCTTCCGGTTCAAAATCAAAACAAAATCGAGCAATCCAAAAGTAACTATGAAGCTCTTTTAATGAAAATACTTGAACAACAAACGACACAAAATAAAATCATTGAAATATTTTTTTATATCTAAAATGAAGAAATTAATAATTCTCTTGAAATTTGTGAAGTTGATACCGAACCTAGTGTAACATTAATTCCAACACCACCAAGTCTAGAACTCAAACCCTTACCTTAGGAACTTAAATATGCACATTTAGATAAAATGGTAAATATCCAATAATAATATCGTCTAGCTTAACACCCGAGCAAGAGGAAAAATTAATCGATGTTATTCAAAAACATCGTTTGGCAATTGGGTGGCCCCTAAATGATATAAAAGGTATTGACCCCGAGGTTTTTAACATCACATATACTTAGAAGATAATGCAAAAGCTTCACATGTTTTTAGTTCGGCCATGTTTCCGAAAGAAAATTCAAATTAGAGGTTGGAAAAACCTTTTTTATTGAAGTCGGATTCATGGCATCCAACGGTTGTATATATCTTCTACTCCAATCTCCACATAAGGAATGATGGAAGTTGTTTCTTTACTTATGCGAGAGGCGAGTATGATCTTAAATGGAAAACCATTAATGACACTTTAGAAATTCCGATCATGCAAAACCATCACCTCCATAACCCAATCCATGATATCGAGCTTATCACTCCCTTGTTCACTATCGAAGAGAAGGTGAAGAGAGGCTCATCTTGCATTTACTTAATGTTATTGAAGTGCAACCAAGCAATGGTTGCTTATTGGCTTGGCTACAATGTCCTTGACACTTCTAAGGTGTTGTTTGTTTTTTTATCTGATAGCTTATAGCTAATAACCTACTAGCTACTAGCTATTAGCTTGAAAATAGAGCTAATAGCAACAGCCACTTTTTAGGCAATTTTCTACTAGAAAATCTTATAAGACCATAACTACCTAAAAAACAAACATTATTTTTGGTTTTCTAATAGCTTATAAGCTATCAGAAGTATTGTAACCGAAAAAACAAACAGCACCTAAGTCAACGAACATCAACCGGATCATTGCTCACATCATATGGCAACTTCAAACCAAGAATAGAAACTTTTGTATCGTTCAATTGCTATACAACACAATCACAAATACCAACAAAGCGGTGCTCCCCGTTCTTATTACAAAAATTTGGCATCATGTTTGGAAGTTGCCAACTGCCGATGGTGAATTGCACGGAAGACACTGTGCCATGCTTCTATAAAATAGACTAACCTCTTCAAAAAATTAAATCTGTTTTGATTTTTTTTCTTTATAGGTTGTTAGCCCAATAAAATCACGCCATGTGTCTATAAATTAGGTGAGAAGTTACAATTTTCCCACTACATAGGTTATATTTTTATGCACACATGGCATGGTTTTATTGGGCTAACAAACTAACAAGAAAAAATCAAAACAGATTAAATTATTTGCTAACCTCTGGGTATACAGCTTGGTCTGAGAGCCATGTGTTGCTTCTTATAGTTAAATCAGCTCATTATTCTTGAGCTAAACAAATGGATCAGGCAGCAAGCTGATTGGCAATCTTCGATCTCCTGCATGTTTTTATTCTAGAATCAGTTAATGACATTGTTAGCAACTAGTTACTGTGTTTGGTTATCCAGCTAGGGGTTATTATAGTTAGGACAATTTCAACTGTCCACCTTTTTTTCAATGTTGCAGGTCTCTGTCATAGTTATATTCTTGACAAATTGTAGAAAATGCCATTTTTACATTGTCCTCCATTGAACTCTCCTCACTGTTTTTTAGTGAGCTCATTTTCAGATGAATAATCAGAACCAAGATGGTAGACGATGTCCGAAATATTTGATTTCTGTTTATTCTGCCAGTACACATGAGTTTTCACTTTTCAGAAAATGGTGTAGTCTGTTCTAAGGTTAGACTATCCAGTTGAATGTGAAGTTATGCTTTTCGAAATTTAGCAGTCTAAGATAAATAGGTAGTTGCAGGCTTATTTATGATTTTGAATTTTTGCTCCTTTAATATCCGAACTTAAAGATCTGTGACGTCACTTTCAATTTTCAAAGACGAGTTTCTTCTGTCATTTTTTTTACTTCTTTTGCAGTTTTTCTGAATTTGTTCACACTTCATATGTACCTATTATGCATTGTAAATGTTGTCAAATAATCATTCAGAACAATGGAAATATTCACTACTTGATTGGAAAAGAACTAGGTTTCCAGAAATTTATATATTAAGATCTATCGAAGGTCGTAGTAATTCTTGAAGTAGGTTCAGTTCATACTTCATAGCTAGCTAGTAGTTTACTACTTGATTCAGTAGGGCAATACTGTAGTCAAGCAAAGCATAGAAAGGTATTCTCTGAAGTGGAGATAAGTAATCGATAACAACCTGTTTCTCAGCTGTAGATGGCCTAGTTCACGGCGAGACTACAAGTGAGGGGACCAGGGACCAAGGTGCCTTACAATGACAGTGGTGATGGTTTGCAAGTCCAACTTGGCGATTGTATAGGTAGTTGCTTGAATGTTATTGTTAGCCTGGCGAAGTCCATTATGGTTGCCAATCCATTTAGAGTGGACCCATTGGTCATGAATTTCAAACACTCCACAGGTAAGGAAGCCCATCATCAAAGTCTACATCTGACTTATAAGCTAAAGGGAGCGCACCCAAGAAGGGCTCCCCTAACTGGACTGACTCGTACATAAATCTAGAAATGACACACCTATTTGGTCTACACTAAAATGGTTGTGTTATTATATTGTTAAAAATGTTGGATAAATTCAGATATCTGATTTTTCAGAAAACAGATGAATTCAAAATTTCAACACTAGAAACGAATTTTATGTTAGATTTTATAGAATATTCACGAGTATTCTGATATCTGATTTAAACAAAAAAAAAACGGATTAATATATTTCACCTATGGTATCTCTAGCTAGGTAATTTATGCAATCTACTAATATAAAATGTTTTACCTTCATCCAATATGAAAAAGCAGCCAAAAGAGAAAAAAAAAATTGTTTCTTAGAATATAAGTTACAGAAGAAGACTATAAGTTGCTTTCATAAAAGAGATGAAAAGCTAGAAACTTAGTATGATAGGTATTGAAGCAAAGCAAAACAATGGTGCAATGAAATTGTTTAGGACATGCGGTGTGCAGTTTGCTTCTTCATTGAGACTTCATCACTACGGTTTCCCATGCATATATTTGCATTCACAAAAGATGATATGTGGTGGCGACTATTAAAATAAAATGGTGGTCCCCACTTCCCATCCTACTATTTCGATTGAGTTTTTTCTAGTACATTAGTACTACCATCATGGTAGTACTAATTCCGTCGAAAAGGGGAGAAATCTGCCGAATATTTGGGTATCGGATCGAAAAAATGTTCGGATATCCGTCGGCCCAAATAACTCACCATTTCGACCCGGCATGAAGGAATTTCCGACGAAACGGCGAAATCACGAAATCAATAACTGTTCTTCCTTTAATTCCTTCTTTATTTATTAGATTTGGTTGATTTGTTTTAGAAATTAGGTCTTAAAACACGTTCGCACAAGAATCTTAGCAGAACCAGAAGTAGCAGAACCATGGGGAGAAGAGAGTGAAGAACCAGAAGTAGCAGGGTCTTGAAATAGCAGAACCAGAGGTAGCAGGGTCTTGAAATTTGGTTGTCTTCAATCTTATTAGGAAGAAGAAAGAGAAGAAGAAGAAGAAGGAAGATGGGCAGGGGACTTGAAGTTGATAAAGATTGGAAATACACTTGATATGGGAGAGAGAAAGCTGTTTGGTTTGTTGGGTTTCGTATTTCAAGTTTTCAACTAATGCTACTGCTAGTCTGCATTTCTGCAACACTCAAACAACATAGCAACTTTATTTAACTTTAGCAACAACAAACAAACAACACACTCTTCAATTTCAACTAATGATACTACAACACTCAAACAAAGTTGTTTATCCAACTTTTTCCCATATCAAGTGTACTTTTCTTTCTATTGCTGCTCTTGGTATGAATGAAGGTGATTGGGAATCTAAATTTGACTTTTAGTTTATAATTATATACTAGTCCTTAGGCCCGTGCTATGCACGGGCTGGACATAATTGATTTTGGGGTTTTTTTTGTTGGGTTTGTGTTGGTTGTGCTTTGAAAATAATAGTATTCACCGGTAGTTTTATTTATTTTTTGATGAAAAGGTTATAATGAAACCGAACTTGATATCTGACTCGTTGATAAGTGTTAATGGGTTTGAAAGGTTGAGTTGTTTGTTGCTAGATTTTGTTTGTTGCGTTTTAGTTTCAGTATCAAATTGACTATCCATGATCAGCTTATGGTTTTCATCAATTCATGAATCACCTTCCAAACTA